CAGCCGCTGCGACAGCCGCTGCAGTAGTAGAGCACACCCAGCTTTCCTGTAGCGCAAGCACCTCGGCTCAAGGCATTTCTTGCAGCGCCTGCAGGCTGCCATGCCAGAGATGGGGCGCAAGGGCAAGGGCAAAGGGCGCCAGGTCAGACCAGCCAAATCTGGGCTAGCTGTAGTACCCCCCCCCCCCGTCTGATAAGAGCTCCCATGGAGCTCTAACATGCCATGTTAGAGCTCCCATGGGGCTCTAACGTGGCAGGTTAGAGGATGTTAGAGCTACATTGGAGCTCTAACATGCCATGTTAGAGCTCACCTGGAGCTCTAACATGGCATGCTACATGATGTTAGAGCTCACAGGGAGCTCTAACATGCCATGTTAGAGCTCCCAGGGAGCTCTAAATGCCATGTTAGAGCTCCCTGGGAGCTCTAACATGGCATGTTAGAGGGTGTTAGAGCTCCATTGGAGCTCTAACATGCCATGTTAGAGCTCCCATGGAGATCTAACATGGCATGCTAGAGGATGTTAGAGCTCCCAGGGAGCTCTGACATACCATGTTAGAGCTCCCATCTTCAGGTCGGCACCTGGGAGTACTTGCTCAACCAGCGCAAAGGCTTGCGGAGCCAGAGGGAGCGGTGCGAGTTGAATATCAGTTAGCGCGTCAGGAGGGCGAACACGATGAGGCGTTGGATCATGAGCGCCGCCTGCGCTGGGTCCAACATAAGCAGCAGCAGTTGGACAATGACGGCATGATGATCTTCGACCGTCCAGGAGTCTGGGAGGGCCAGGAGAGACCCTACGGATGCCTGGACGCGACCGCACGCAGGCAGTTGAGCGATGAGGAGATCAGGTGGAACACTCAGATGATAGACTGGGAGCGTCGGAACCCGCCACGGGCGACTGGGATCGAAGACTGTGTACGGCACCACTGGGATCTGCATCGGTGGGTGAGGCAGCAGCGGCGCCTGTCAAACGCCCAGAGTCGCCAGAGAGAGGCGTCGCCGCGCCAGCGCCAGTTGGCTGCAACAGCGTCATCAAGCGGGCGGCGAGAGGCAGCAACAGCTCGTGAGGGCGCAGGCGCTAGTGGCCCGCCGATGGCGGCGAGGAGCGGGCTCAGGCTGACGGAGCTTCCGTCGGAGGCCGACAGAACGCGGGCCCAGGCCGAGCAGTCGGGTGATCCGCACCACACGATTGTGATCTCCGACAGCGACTCCCCCCGAGAGGCTGGTGACCGTACCCGCAGAGGCAGAGAGCGCACCCGCAGCACGGCGCGGGATGCTCCTGTCACGGCACGGCGCGGGATGGGTGCTCCTCTCACATCTCCGCTTCGGCAGGAGGAGGATGATTGGAGACAAAAGACTCCGTGGGCCAAGCACGCGCCAGCGAAGAGGGTCAGTGACACGCCCGCGGAGGGCCAGCCTCTTCCGAAACGGATGCCCTCCCGCCCGCCACGGCCAATCGATTTATCGGGCAGGGTCGCGCCGCCGCCGCCGCCGATGACGAGAGAGCAGCTGCGACAAGAGGCGGACCACTACAAGCCCGAGCCAGAGCGAGCGCGGCAGGAACACATGGAGGCTGAGCGGCGCCAGTTCTTATCCCAGGTTCCACGTGGGTCAGCCACACGGGCGACGACGGTTTCTGCCGCCATGAAGCACAGCGAGGAGCCGATCGAGCGCGGGAAACTTCTTAAGCGGCAGACGGAACAGACGACGAATGCCCGCGTAGCTGCAAGAGCCATGGCAGCCTTCCCACTACGTGCAAAGGTCGGTCAGGCGGCGGAGCAGTCCAAAGGTTACAAGTCCATCGCCAAGTTGCCCCCCGAGGAGGCCGCAGTCGTCGAGCAGAGCAAGCCGAAACGCCTTCCACCCTTTGTTTTGTCGTCCCCGCACGAGGCCATTCCCGCGTTCCACAAGGAGTGGGCGCTGGTCGAGGGTGCATGGTCGGACCCCGACAAGCTCGTTCTGGAATTAAAGCTGCGGGCAGAGAGGAACAATACGATACATGAGTACCTCCTAGCCGGCTTCCCCGTGTGGTACCCGAGCTCGGGAAGCTCCACGTGGCCTCTGGTGCGATCGCACGACTTCTGTACCTTTCACCCCATCCAAGCTGTAACAGCGGAAGCGGGCCCTGGCTGCGTCGTGAAGGAGGCGTCCACCGTGCAGAAAGGAGACATCGTCTTTTGCCTGGTGCAACCGCAGCACCAATACTACGCGCACAGTGTGATCAAGGCAGATTGGGACTTCCACAGGCGCGAGTACAAGTACTGGATCGGCGGCATCAGGCAGCACATAAATGGCTATTGTTTCAGGGAGCACATCTTCGGGATCCTCGTGGACGTGCAGGTGCAGTACCATGGCAACTACTACAGTCGCCCGCACCCAAAAACGCTGCACGACAGAGTCGCGCCCATTTATTACACGAGCCCTGACGAGGCAAAGCAACTCTGTGAGCCTCGGTGGGACCAGCCCGCGTCTGGGAGCAGCTGACAGCTTGCACAGACTGTCACAGTGAATCGCGGGGCCTCTCCGAGCGCGCTTCTGGTAGACTGCAACAGTCGACTGCGACGCGCCAGTTCTGGTTTAGGCATTGCTTCTGTCAGCGCCAGTTTTGGCCGACCTGCACAGATGCGCCTCTCGGATGAGCCCTGCCTTCCGCTACGCAACAGATGCGCACACAATTCGAGTACGCGGCACCCTCGCGCACATTTCGAGTGGGGCCGTGGGCGGCTAGCATGACTGCTGAACACCGCAAGTTCTCGAGCGCCTGACCCAGTCGGCGAAGTGCTTCCAGTCGCGTCGGGTGGTGACTGTCTGTCAGATACCCGTTCACTCGTTCAGGGACCCTGGCATCCAGCTCGCTGGCCTCAGGTTGCCAGTTGACTTACTCAGGGGGATGGCAGTGGTGAGGGGAATGGGAAGGGGCTGGGACGGGGACGGTTGTGCGGAATCGGCAGAGTCTTTGTGGCCAGCGCTCCGCTGCAACAGCCGCACACATTTCGAGTGGGGTTGTGGGCGGCTAACATGACTGAACACCGCAAGTTCTCGAGCGCCGGACCCAGTCGGCGAAGTGCTTCCAGTCGCGTCGGGTGGTGACTGTCTGTCAGATACCCTTCGGCGCGGGTGACCTGAAGTTTGCCATATACTGTAACAGTGGCACGCCTGTGCGGCCGCCCGCATACGCTTTGACGCTGTGCGGACTGGGTTTGTCTTGCGGTTTTCCTTGATGCTGAGCCGGCTTGGCTGCACGACTGAGGTGTGTGTGTGTGTGTTTGTATATGATTAGCACACATATCAGCACGAAGTACATGTATTGTGTGTGGTATTGTCCTCTCGTGCGTCTCATCTTAGGAGCGTGCCACTCGTTCAGGGACCCTGGCATCCAGCTCGCTGGCCTCAGGTTGCCAGTTGACTTACTCAGGGGATGGCAGTGGTGAGGGGAATGGGAAGGGGCTGGGACGGGGACGGTTGCGCGGAATCGGCAGGGTCTTTGTGGCCAGCGCTCCGCTGCAACAGCCGCACACATTTCGAGTGGGGTTGTGGGCGGCTAGCATGACTGAACACCGCAAGTTCTCGAGCGCCGGACCCAGTCGGCGAAGTGCTTCCAGTCGCGTCGGGTGGTGACTGTCTGTCAGATGCCCTTCGGCGCGGGTGACCTGAAGTTATGCAGAGAAGCGTGACAACAAAACGGCGAGCTTCTCCGATTCGTCTCCTCTCGCCGTCTGCTGCGCCTCCGCTGCAACAGCTCCTGCGCCTCCCCGCCCCCCAGGTCCCTGGTGGCGGGCGGCGCTGACGCGGGCGGCCGCGGCGCCCCCGCAGGCCCACGTGGGGGAACCAGGATGACGACGACGAGGAGGACGAGGCTAGGAGGAGGAGCAGGAGGAGGAGTCCAGGTGGGAGGAGGGGGGTGGGGCGCATCACGCTCTGAGCTAAGGTGCCCGCGAGAGCATCTGTTACTGGCGCGAGTGGGAATGGGCCCACGATAGGACTCTGCGCGTGTGTTGCGCATGGCTGGAACAGCGAGCGCAGGCGCTCCCATGCATCCCTGAGCTCAGAGATGAGGAGAAAGACGCCCATATTCAGATCAACTGCATTCCTTAATATGCAGATTGTCTCACTCTCCAGGCCGCTAGGCGCTAGGCGCTTGGATGCTTGGGCTGCCTGGTTCGAATTGTTCTAGCCTCTAGCCTTCGGCTTTCTGGTGCCCAGTACCTCCCTGGTCGCCACCAGCTGGACGCAGTAAGCGAGGAGGAAGAGGCCACCAGAGAGGGCCCTCGGGCCCTAGGGCACCACACCCAGGACCCCACAGAGCCCCGAGCACCCCAGCAGATCCGCGACAGGATTCGCACCCTTACATTATCTCGGCATATTGGCCCAAGCTAGTTCCCCATGGCTGGGGCAAGAACCATGGGGGATCCTTTATTCAGCACTTCATCCCAGGGGTCTCCCAGCGCGGACTCGCAGTCGGCGTCTGCCTGCCTTCTGCGAGACATGTTCGGCGGCTCGGACGACGAGGCCACTGAAGGTATGACGCTCTATGTTGAAGCCAGAGTTGCTGTGGACGCTCGGACCGTGGCCGCCGCCGCTGCGAGTCGGCAACAAGCCAACCAGGGAGGTTTTGCAGCGGGCGTGGGCGCCGCTGGCGGCACCCGCAGAGCAGCGCGAGATCCAGACAGCATGGCTTCCTCCAGAGATAAGGGCTTGCAAGAGCCGTCGGCATCGCCTCCAGAGATCAGGGCCTGCGAGATCCAGACAGCATCGCCCTCTCCAGCACAGGTGCATCCAGCATCAGCATCGTCGCTTCCTCCAGGGGGCGTCGGGGACGTCGGAGCAGCTCGAGGGCCTTGCGGCGTGAACGTCAAGGTCAAGGCCATGGCCAATGACACCATCAGCGCCGATGGCATGGGCAATGGGAACAATGACACATTTTCGTTCATTCATCACAGATCGCCTGGGGCTCGACCTTTCACGCGGGGGGCCGCCTACCGACGCTGTCGAGGGCCGAGCAGGATGCGGCGACGGTGGCGACAAGGCCTCTGGAGTTCGGAGCCCGAGGGCCTTTGCAGGGGTCGATGGCGGCAGCGCATTTCAGTTCGCGAAGGTCGCCTGTTTCGACGACAACGGCAAAAAGTGACAGCGCCTGCCAGGCGTCGCATGCGCTCGCGCAGCCGAGAGACGCGGCTTAAGATGATGTGGGAAGGCGCCCGGGAGGACGCTCGACAGGTGCTTAGTGATTGTCGCGGCATGCAATCGATGTTTGTACACCAGCCCCTCGTCGACATCGACGTTGGTCTAGTGATGAAGCGCGCGCGGCACCTCCACGATCGTACCATCGCCTCTGGGCGCTCCGTCTACATCGGCACGACGAGCGACCCTTCATGGCGATGGAATGGAGGATGGGGGTGGCGAGGAAACGACCGAAGCTTCATGCGCGGGCACAAGCTCAGCTACGATGAGATGCAAGTGGTCGCGTCCTTCCCCGACAAACAATGCGGAGAGGTTGAGAAGCATGTGATCGCGCACTTCCCCCGTGCTGACAACAAGGTCGCGTCGCCGCAGGGGCTTGCGGTCAGGCACTGCGCATACAGCTTCCTATATGTCTGTAGGACATTATGAGCGCCATTTGCGAAGCTGCCCAGCTCCGCTGTCTTGTGCGTGCAGTGGCCACTACCCAGACAGACGTGGTACGTGGTGGGGACGACTGAGGCTGCGATGCAGAAGTGACAGAATCGCCAGTACGCTGCAACAGCCGCTGCAACACAGCCGCTGCAACAGCCGCTGCAACAGCCGCTGCAACAGCCGCTGCAACAGCTGCTGCAACAGCCGCTGCAACAGCCGCTGCAACAGCCGCTGCAACAGCCGCTGCAACAGCCGCTGCAACAGCCGCTGCAACAGCCGCCGCAACAGCAGCTGCAACAGCCGCTGCGACAGCCGCTGCAGTAGTAGAGCACACCCAGCTTTCCTGTAGCGCAGGCACCTCGGCTCAAGGCATTTCTTCTTGCAGCGCCTGCAGGCTGCCATGTCAGAAATTGGGGCCAGCGCAGGGGGGGCTCCTGGCCCATGTCCAGAAACCGTCATCATGGACCCTGACAGCACTGGACGCATTGATGCTCCATGGCTACAAGTTAAGGAGTACGTTTCGAAGACGAGTGGAGCACCTAATGAGCCCTGGTGGCATTGTTCACCGCGCGGCAAATGGGCGGCCCCGACGCACCAGATTTCGCAGGACCACATCAAGAATGTAAAGAATAAGTATATATGGTTCCATGGTGCTTGTCCACAGGGTTCTGATGAGGACAAGACCGCATGGTGCTCTACCATCATGAGCACCGTGGAGCTCCACCCGAGCTACGTCCAGAAGAAGCGGGAAGACGATGAAGCGGAGGATTGGAGGTCGACGAGGAAGGCCAAGGTCAAGGCCAGAGAGGGCAGAGGAGAGCAATGGCAAAGTAAAGGCCATCAGCAAGAAGCTGGAACAGCTGCAGGAGCTCTAAACAACTGGAACAGCTGGAACAGCTCAAGAGCTGCGTCATCAGGAGCTGCAACAGCAGGAGCTGATACAGCAGGAGCACAGCAGTGGCAGCAGCAGGACGGGCTAACCACCGTTATCACCACGATGTTCAATTTCTTGACCAACGCACAGAACAAGGACGAGAAGAAGATGGATGATATTCTGGCTCTCCTGCGGGCACAGGGACAGATGCTCACGGATCTCATGCTGGCACAGGACAACCTGCAGAAGAAAGTCGAGGAGCTCGATCAGAAAGTGGAGGAGCTCAAGCAGAAGGACAAACAGCAGCACCAGTGAGCTCAGCAGCAGGACAAGTGACCTCGCATGGGCGTCTGGTAGCCGATGTCGGAGGCGCGCAGCCTGGCTCGCGCGCTGGCTCTTTCGCCGCGCTGACGCGGCGCAGGGGGCTGGAATAATATGGCTCCGGAAGTTTTGGAAGGCTCTGGGTTTATTCGCAAATTGGGTATGCTCCTTATGGCCCCCACAGCGCCCACCTGTCGGAGCCCCACCTCGAGCTCGATCCTCGACTACTTCGTTTTGGGAGAAGGTGTTGCTATATTGATTTCACGCGCTGACTTCGTGCGTCCACGGAGTTCTAACATGTCATGTTAGAGCTCCCACGGAGCTCTAACATACGATGTTAGAGCTCCATTGGGGTTCTACCATAATCTAACATGCTCTGTATGTCAGGGCTCCACTGGAGCTCTAACATGCCATGTTAGAGCTTCCAGGGAGCTCTAATATAATCTAGCGTGCTATGTTAGAGCTCCGTTGGAGCTCTAGCATGCAATGTTAGAGCTCCCTGGGAGGTTTAACATGCAAGGTTAGAGGTGCCAGGGAGTTCCCTGGCATCACATGGTTCAGCTCCCAGGGAGCTATATATAACATGACATGTTAGAGGCCCCACGGAGTTCCAACATACGACGTTAGGACTCCCAAGGGGCTCCAACATACTCTAACTTGCTATGGTAACAGCATGTTAGAGTTGCCTCCCATACTCGATGGGGCCTCTAACATAGCATGTTAGAGCTCCCATCGAGCCGTCCCCCCCGCCGTCGTCGTCGTCGTCGTCGTCCCATTGGGCACGTCCGCATGCCGTCCCCCCGCCATCGTCGTCGTCGTCGTCGTGATGATGATGATGGTGGTGACGATGGTGATGGATGATGGTGATGATGGTGATGGAGATGATGTTGATTGTATATATACGATCGGATAGTCGCCATTCGAAATTATCATTATCATCGTCATAAACATCGTCATCATCACAATCAGAAAAACATGACATCGTCATAATCACCATCAAAAAAACATCAAACAACAGGAAAGACTATAATCACATCAAAAACACATCCAAGACATCAACCTAAACCAGCCCTAATCCCAGCCAGTCGAGGGGGCCGCTTCCGACAAGGAGGCCGGGAGCTCGAACGTGCCATGTTAGAGCTCCCACGGAGCTCTAACATGCCATGTTAGAGCTCCCAGTGAGCTCTAACATACTCGAACATGCTATGTTAGAGCTCTGTGGGAGCTCTAACAAGCCATGTTAGAGCTCCCAGGGAGCTCGAACATAGCATGTTGGAGCATTTTAGAGCTCCCACGGAGCTCTAACATACCATGTTAGAGCTCCCAGGGAGCTCTGACATACTCTAACATGCTATGTTAGAGCTCCGTTGGAGCTCGGTATGTTAGAGCTCCCAGGGAGCTCTAACATGGGAGCTCTAACGATTAGAGCTCCCTGGGAGCTCTAACATGCTTGTTAGAGCTCCCTGGTCGCTCTAACCTACCCGCCGCCGCCGCCGCCGTGTTAGAGCTCCCACGGAGCTCTAACATACGATGTTAGAGCTCCCAGGGAGCTCTAACATGCTATGTTAGCAGCTCCGGGAGCTCTAACATGTTAGAGCTCCCAGGGAGCTCTAACATACTCTAACATGCTATGTTAGAGCTCCGTTGGAGCTCTAACATGCCATGTTAGAGCTCCCTGGGAGTGCCAACATAACATGTTAGAACTTCCTGGAGCTCTATCATGCCATGTTAGAGCTCCCTGTGAGGTCTAATATGCTAGGTTAGAGGTGCCAGGGAGTTCCCTGGGAGCTCTTACATGACATGTTTCAGCTCCCAGGGAGCTATAACATGACATGTAAGAGGTCCCACGGAGTTCTAACATACGTTAGAGCGAGCTCTAACATACGATGTTAGAGCTCCCAGGGAGCTCTAACATAATATAACATGCATGTTAGAGCTCCCAGGGAGCTCTAACATAGCATGTTAGAGCTCCCAGGGAGCTCTAACATACTCTAACTTGCTATGTTAGAGCCCCCTGGGAGCTCTAACATAGCATGTTAGAGCTCACACACAGCTCTAACATACGATGTTAGAGCTCCCAGGGAGCTCTACCATAATATAACATGCTATGTTAGAGCTCCATTGGAGCTCTAACATACGATGTTAGGGCTCCCAGGGAGCTCTAACATGCCATGTTCGAGCTCCCACGGAGCTCTAACATACCATGTTAGAGGTCCCTGGTCGCTCTAACATACTTTTAACTTGCTATGTTAGAGCTCCCTGGGAGCTCTAACAAGCCATGTTAGAGCTCCCTGGGAGCTCTAACATAGCATGTTGGAGCATTTTAGAGCTCCCACGGAGCTCTAACATACCATGTTATAGCTCCCAGGGAGCTCTAACATACTCTAACATGCTATGTTAGAGCTCCGTTGGAGCTAGGTATGTTAGAGCTCCCAGGGAGCTCTAATATGGGAGCTCTAACATAGCATGTTAGAGCTCCCTGGGAGCTCTAACATGCTATGTCCGAGCTCCCTGGTCGCTCTAACCTACCCGCCGCCGCCGCCGCCGCCGTGTTGGAGCTCCCACGGAGCTCTAACCGCCGCCGCCGTGTTAGAGCTCCCACGGAGCTCTAACATACGATGTTAGAGCTCCCAGGGAGCTCTAACATAATCCAACCTGCTATGTTAGAGCTCCATTGGAGCTCTAATGGAGGTCTAACATGCGATTTTAGAGCTCCCAGGGAGCTCTAACATGCTCTTACATGCTATGTTAGAGCTCCGTTGGAGCTCTAACATGCCATGTTAGAGCTCACTGGGAGTGCCAACATAACATGTTAGAACTTCCTGGATCCCGACCATGCCATGTTAGACCTCCCTGTGAGGTCTAATCTGCTAGCTTAGAGGTGCCAGGGGTGTTCCTGGGAGCTCTTACATGACATGTTTCAGCCCCCAGGGAGCTATAACATGACATGTTAGAGGTCCCACGGAGTTCTAACATACGATGTTAGAGCTCCCACGGTGCTCTAACATACGATGTTAGAGCTCCCAGGGAGCTCAACATAATATAACATGCTATGTTAGAGCTCCATTGGAGCTCTAAGATACGATGTTAGAGCTCCCAGGGAGCTCTAACATAGCATGTTAGGGCTCCCAGGGAGCTCTAACATACTCTAACTTGCTATGTTAGACCCCCCTGGGAGCTCTAACATAGCATGTTAGAGCTTCCACGGAGCTCTAACATGCGATGTTTAGAGCTCCCAGGGAGCTCTAACATAATAGAGCATGCTATGGTTAGAGCTCCCTGGAGCTCTAACATACGATGTTAGGGCCCCCAGAGAGCTCTAAACATGCCATGTTAGAGCTCCCACGGAGCTCTAACATACCATGTTAGAGCTCCAGGAGGGACCTAACATACTCTAGCTTGCTATGCTAGAGCCCCATTGGAGCTCTAACATACGATGTTAGAGCTCCCAGGGAGCTCTAACATGCCATGTTCGAGTTCCCACGGATCTCTAACATGCCATGTTAGAGCTCCCAGGGAGCTCTAACTACTCTAACTTGCCATGTTAGAGCTCCCTCGGAGCTCCAACAAGCCATGTTAGAGCTCCCTGGGAGCTCTAACATAGCATGTGGGAGCATTTCAGAGCTCCCACGGAGCTCTAACATACCATGTTAGAGCTCCCAGGGAGCCCTACCATACTCTAACATGCTATGTTAGAGCTCCGCTGGAGCTCGGTATGTTAGAGCCCCCAGGGAGCTCTAATATGGAAGCTCGA